GATGCAGATTTATTCATATTTGAGTTTTTCTTTGCTGGAGAACAGAAAGATCGTTATCTACAAGCAAATTTGAAAAATGTTTGAGTTATACTGCAAAGTCTTTTCACTACTACTAGTAATTAGCTACTCATAGTTCGTTTGTTGTTGTNTTTTTTTGTTTTGTGATTATTCGAGTTGCTATTTATGTGGAGTCTTTCATAACATTATTCATCCACAAGTTCAATTATTATATGCCTTTACAATTACTTGGATCCATCTATCCCGTTTATATATAATTTCAGAATACGTTGAGCGTACGTGACAAACTCTCATGCTTCGGAATCCAATTTGGCAAAAAACCATGCTTTGGAGTTAGACTTGGATATAAATTAATAATTTTTATCACACTAAATCCATAATTGATTTTTTCCTTCTTTACCATACATCACATTTCATTTTCTTATATAATACATTCATTAGTTTTTATAAATGTTTCTTCTTCTTATTTTAAGATTTTATGACTTTTTTATTTGTATTTTATTTTTCATATCTGATATATCAAATTAACTATCTTTTAAGGAATTTCGATTTGACATCCATATTATATATGTAAAATACAAAACAGTAATATATATCCTTATAAATAAAATTTAAATTTATTTATCAAACTAAATTAAATTATACTCCCTCTGTTTCGTTTTAAATGTCGTTGTAGGGTGTCAACTTTTTTGCAAATTAATTGTCGTTGGAAATATTATATTCATTCTTACATCTTTATTCTCTTTAACAAACATTATCTCTTATCATTATCTTTAAAAGCCACCCATTAATAATTCAAAAACTAAATTTAATAATATTAAAAGATAAGATTATTACACAATCCATTAAAATCGTAATTTAGAAGTTTTAAATTAAAACGACATTTAATAAGAAACGGAGGGAGTATCAAATAAAACTATAAATTATATTATAAAGTAATAGAAATTTATTTACTTCAAATCTAATTGGTATGTTGTTAATCTAATAAAAATAAATAATTATTTATCTAATTTCTAAAATTACATATAAAGTTAAAAAACTGTAAAACACGACTGATATGACACTTGATGTATTAGGCATCTAATTAAGTAAAAAAATTAATCTATTTTGCTTAATATTAAATACACATATTCTACACTTATGGATATACATATCATCATATTATTTCTATTTATTGAAGATATATATTTTTGTACTTATGTAATAGTAAATAATATCGATATTTTTACATGATATAAGTAAAAAAATTCAACACGAGTTGACATTTTCATTTAATGTACGGGTGTTTAATTATTATGATTAAAAAAATAAAATTTGACAATTTAATTAAAACCTAAAGTAATGTTTTATATAAAATTAAATTATTTAAGTTTCTTAAAAAAATAAAAAAATTTAATATTTTTTACAAAAACTTTCTAATTCAACACCCGTGTAATATACGGGTATTGTACTAGTAATACTTTATTAATAAATAATGAATATTCATCCTATCAAATATCATACTTTGACTTTGATTTATGTTGGTTTTTTATTTGTATTGTATTTGCGAATGATTCTTTATAATGTACATATATACTGAGATTATTGCACAAGGGAAATGCTCACATGCTCACAGTGTGCACATGTTAATATGCCCACCAACTTATGTGGCATGAACACATCGGTGATTTATTTTTTTTAACATATTAACATCACCAATGTGTGCGTGGCACATAAATGGTGGACATATTAACATGTGTCCACCGTGGGCATGTGAGCATTTCCGTATTCCACAAATAAATTCAGTTTGGCCTGCGATTTGACTTCTTGCAGTACAATATTATAGTGCCATGTAGGCCATGTGGAGTTAATTATTTTTTCACATGATCTACATTGCACTATAACATTGGTGGTTGACTCCATAAAGGATCTCATGATTCTACATCGTATAGCCACAATAAACGAAAACATCCAAAGATGTGAAACAGAAAAAAAGGTTCTCCGCATAATTGAGTCAGATCAAAACCTAAATTAGAAAAAAGAAATATTTGAATCACATGGTTTCCCCAATTTACACAATGAAAATCCACTCCCTGGAAAAAAACTGATTCCACTGAGCGTCAAGATTTTTGGGCCTGCAAGAGTATGTTCCCATTAGACCAAAATTTGGACCATGATTTTTCCCATTCAAACAATAACAATAAATAAAATAAAAATATTTTTCCAAAAAAGAAAAATATGCATTTTATCTTATTTTTCTATCAATCCCACTCACGCAATTAAAATTTGAAAATAATTATTATTATATATTTTCTTACAAAAATATTATTCATCTACTCATATATCTATAATTATTAATTTTTTTATTAATTTCATTTTTTATAGCACATTTTTATCTCATATCTATTCACACTTTTTATAGCACATTTTTATTTCATTTTTATAGCACATTTTTAATTTATCTCATATTTCCAAAAACTTTTCATCTTATTTTTTTTGGACGAGACAAAATTTTATGTTATAAGTCTTACATCCATTCCCACGTATTTATTTTACATAAATACTATTAATTTCATCTTACTTTTTTCTATACAATCCCACTAACTAAATTTAGGAAGAAGAAATAGTTATTTTCACCCCGCACTGAAGACGAAATAAGTTTTACACACCGCCAAATAATAAGTTAATTTTTTCACTCTCATAAAGTAAGAAATAAAATATACGATAAGTTATGCGACATACATATGAAAATAATTTCTAAAGTGCGAAATAATTATGTGATTAACTATGCAATATACAAACGAAGATATTTGATAAACTGCGAAATGGTTATGCGATCAACTACGGGCCAAACAGACGAACATAATTGATAAAGTTCGAAACATATGCGAAAAAACGAAAATAATTGATAAAGTGTGAAATAGTTATGCGATACACAATGTGACAAGCAGACGAACATAATTGATAAAGTGTGAAACAATTATGCGATAAACAATGCAACTGGCAAACTTAAGATAATTGATAAAGTGCGAAATAGTTATGTGATAAAATGTGCGACAATCAGGCGAACATAATTTATAAAATGTGAAACAATTATGTGATATAATATGAGACATTCAGGCGAAGACAATTGATGCGAAAAGCTATGCGTCAGACCCAAGATAATTGATAATGTGAGAAATAGTTATCTGATAAACTATTCAACATACAAGCGAACATTATTGATAAAGTGCGAAATATTATGCGATAGACTTTGAATATCATTGATTTTTTCTTTCTTCCCTTCTTTACTCATTAACAGAAACTGAAGGAAAAACGGGTGCGGGCCCACTAACATGAAGCGCACCATGAACGAAGAAAACCCATATGAAGCCCAAGTGGGGTTCCATTCCAAAACCAATTAGTCGAAGGAAGAGTAGCCCATTAGTCTTATAAGGTGGGTCTATTTTCCATGTATGAAAGATGTGAGACAACTTACAAGTGATATTCTAACACGCCCCCTCACTTGTGAGTCCATCGAAAGCCGAAGTCCAACTGGCTGGGTCACGGGTACGTCATCGCACGGTCACCAATAGAAGTGGCCCTGATACCATGATAGAAACTGGGGAAAAAACGGGTGCGGCCCACTAACATGAAGCGCACCATGACAAGGAAAAGCCCATATGAAGCCCAAGTGGGGTTCCATCCCAAAACCAATTGGTGGAAGGAGGATTAGCCCATTAGACTTATAAAGTGGGTCTATTTTCCTTGTATGAACGATGTGGGACAACTCACAAGTGATATTCTAACACGCCCCTCACTTGTGAGTCATTCGAAAGCCCAAGTATAACTAGTTGGGTAACGGGTACGTCATCGCACGGTCACCTATAGAACCGACTCTGATACCATGACAGAAACTGAGGGAAAACGGGTGCGGGCCCACTAAACATAAAGTGCACCATGAACGAGGAAAAACCCATATAAAGCCAAGTGGGGTTCCATCCCAAAACCAATTGGTGGAAGAAGGAGTAGCCCATTAATCGTATACAATGGGTCTATTTTCTATGTATGAACGATGTGGAATAACTCACAAGTGATATTCTAACACGCCCTCTCCCTTGTGAATCCTTCGAAAGCCCAAGTCCAACTGGCTGGCTGATGGGTACGTCATTGCACGGTCACCAATAGAATCGGCTCTGAACCATTACAGAAACTGGGGAAAAACGGGTGCGGGCCTACTAACATAAAGCGCCCCCTCACTTGTGAATTCTTAGCAGTTTTATGTGGGCCCGCAATATTCTAACACGCCTCCTCAATTGTGAATTCTTAATAAGAAGCCCAAGCCCATATACAGAGTTGGGTGCCCCAAGCCCTACTACAAATAGGCTCCCATATATGGGTACATGGGCCCAAGCCCTACAGCTCCCATAAACGGGTACGTGGACCCAAGCCCTACTAGAAACAGGCTCCCATAAACGGACATGTGGGAAAAACGGGTACGAGGGAAGAAATGGGGGAAAAACTGGTGCGGTCCCACGCACGTGAAGCGCACTAACAGGGAAAAGCCCATATGAAGCCCAAGTGGGGTTCAATCCCAAAACCAATTAGTGGAAGGAGGAGTAACCCATTACTCTTATAAGTGGGTCTATTTTCCATGTATGAATGATGTGGGATAACTCACAAGTGATATTCTAACACTCATGTTCTTCGCTTCCAACATTTCAAACTTTAACTCCCCACCACAATCCTCCAAATTAATATCAACCCCCTCATTACTCTCCTTAATATTTTGATTAACTATTTCCAGACCTTCTAGATTTACTCATAATTTTCTCCCCACTCTTAAATATCAATAAAGTGCTTTTTTTTTCCTTCTTCCCGCGAGATCAATAGAGTTCCTTCTTTAATTTCTTCTACTCTTCCCCCTCTCTCTATAAACTTATTCTGGTGAGTACCTGCTCTACTCCTTCTTTCCTCTAGAACCCCATCTCTACTCTGCCCTTGGTTAGTAAGGGAGAAGGCTTTTAGCTAATCTTCATATTGTCCCTCCTCCAGGGAATTACATTCGAAGTCCACCTGTCTTTTTGTGCATTTTCTTGCCAGGTGCAATACTTTGCGCAATGGTAACAGAAGCCCATGAGATTCTCATATTTAAATTCCACCCAATGAGTTTTTCCTTCTAGATAAACTGGTGTCGTGTGCCTCTAAGCAATGGCTTGATAAAGATTAACTGAAGCCTTGATCTTTATATGCCTACCTTTTATGCTTCCAGCTTCTAGAATTGAGACATCCTAAACTCGATTGAAGACTCCCTCAATCTTGGTTTCTGTTTTAACTGACAACCAATGAACTGGATCATTTCATATATGGATCCACATATCTACACAACTTAACGCTTCCAAGTTATGGCAGATTCCTCCCTCCCACTCTCGCAAAATCATGAATTGTTTTTCAAAGGTCCACAAACTTCCTTTCATAACTTTATCTTTATCAGACTGATTTTTAAAACAAACTGAAAGCAGTTACAACCTAACTCTTTCAAACTGAAACTTGTAAGAAAAATTGGTTTTGTACTGATTTAACGATTCTATTTTCGTAAGTAGAAAACTTAGGAAATTCTCAAAACCTTTTTAAGGTGAATGAGAAATTAATTCTAAGTGTTATATGTTAATTAATTGAGTTTAAATAACTCAAAGATTGTAGGGTTCACAAACATTCTGTTTTGACAAATGTTTGGACAAACTAAACGAGCCATAATAATGCATTATAAATGCTAGTATTGCAGAAGGGCTCGTAGGGGACAAGTAGGAAAAAACGGAACTCGATTCCGAGTCCGTATGAGCTCGTACGAGCCCGTGGCGCACGGGCGCGCAACTGGCTGCGGAAATCAAAGGGTTGCAACCCTTGGTGACCATAAGGTATCTTTTGGCCACTAGATTCATCCGTTCTCGTACGGGCACGTCCCAAAAGGTGTTTTTTGACACTTAAACCTCTTGGAGGTGTTTCCCTACATCTATAAATACCCACAAACATGAAATCATTTAGTACATGAAATTTTCCAAGAGTCTTTGCATCCTTTTTACAAAGTTCATATTCATCTTGTGTTCTTTGTGTTCTTTCTTATCTTGAGATTTCCGAAACTTGAGTATTGTTCGTCGAAGGTTTGTGTACTTGAGTTACCTCTATACACAAATCGAAGTCGTTGTATCTTGGAGGAGTTAGCCGTGAACCGTGGGTAATATACGGGGCTATTTCATCTTAAGGAGAGCGTACCTTACGTGCCTCGACTTTGTTCGTTTCGTCATTTTCCTTCTGATTTCTTAAGCCATTTTTTATATTCACAGACCACACTAATAACAATCTTAAGACGAAATATTTGTGAGTTCATAAGATGGCAACCGGAGGAAATCAAACGTCTTCTTCAAGTGCTCAACCGATGGTAGCTGCTCCTGTCCAAGGCGAGAGACCGCCGAAGTTCAATGGATCTAATTCCAAGAGGTGGCATCAAAAGCTGTTGTTCTACCTCACAACTCTCTCCCTCTCTCGTTTTCTTTCGGAGGACCCTTTGATCGTCCCTGAAAGTGAGACCGACGTGCAAAAGCGTACGGCCTCGGATGCGTGGCATCACAATGATTTCTCGTGTAGAAATTATATCCTTAACGGACTAGACGACTCTCTCTACAATGTCTATAGTTCGATTAAGACGGAAAAGGAGTTGTGGAATTCCTTGGAGATAAAGTACAAGATGAAAGATGCCGGGATTAAGAAATTTCTCGTCGGCAAATTCTTAAAGTACTTAATGGTGGACACCAAGTCGGTGGTAAGCCAAGTCCAAGAGATTCAAATCATCTTTCACGATTTGTTGGCTGAAGGATTGATTGTGAATGAAGCCTTCCAAGTTGCGGCTATTGTTGAAAAGTTACCACCTCTTTGGAAGGACTTCAAAAACTATATCATGCATAAACGCAAAGAGATGACATTGGAGGACTTGATTGTTCGACTTCGGATTGAAGAAGATAACCTAAAGTCTGAAGTAAGGGCCAATCGGAGCGACTACGAGGCTAAGGCAAACTTGACCGAGTCAAACTCCAAAGATAAGCGCAAGAGAACTTCAAATGGAAAGCAGCCACAAACGAGCACCAAGAAGTGCTACAATTGTGGTAAATCCGGGCATCTTGCGAAAGATTGTCGTCTCCAGAAGAAGGGTAAAGATAGCGCGCATATAGCCGAGGATAAATTTGTTCCCATTGACTTATCTGAGCTCGACCTTACCGTCGTGGTCCAAGAAGTTAACTTGGTTAATAATCCACGGGAATGGTGGGTCGATACGGGAGCAACTCGGCATATTTGTGCGGATAGAGATATGTTCTCGTCTTATACCCCTGTCGACGGAAGGAAGATATACATGAGAAACTCTTCGACATCAAACGTCGTGGGAACGGGCAAGGTGGTGCTGAAAATGACATCGGGCAAAGACTTGACGCTAACGAAAGTGATGCATGTCCCGGATATCCGTAAGAGCCTTGTATCCGGTGCTCTTTTGAGCAAAGCCGGTTTTAGATTAGTCTTTGAGACCGATAAATTTGTAATGACTAAGAATGGTGTCTTCTTAGCGAAAGGGTACCTAGATGAGGGCCTTCTTAAGATGAATGTAATGAATGTTATCCGCCAAGAGGCGAAGAATAAAGAAAGTATTTCTTATTTGTCAGAGTGTTCTAATTTATGGCATGATAGATTAGGACATGTGAACTTTAACACTATTAAAAGGTTGGTGAATTTGGAATTGATACCTAAAGTTAAAATCGACTCACACAAAAAGTGTGAAACATGTGTTGAAGCAAAAGTGGCTAAAACACCGTTTAAACCGGTGAAGAGAAGCACTAGTCCACTCGAGTTAATTCAGACCGACATATGTGATTTAAAGTTTGTACAAACTCGAGCTAGGATGAAGTATTTCATTACATTCATAGATGATTGTACAAGGTATTGTTACGTTTATCTACTAAAGAGTAGAGATGAGGCATTAGAGGCCTTTAAGACGTATAAAAATGAAGTTGAGAATCAACTTAGTCGAAAGATCAAAGCGATTCGAAGTGATAGAGGAGGCAAGTATGTAGCCCCGTTTGAAGTGCTCTGCAAAGAGTCGGGTATTAATCATTAAACGACGGCTCCATATTCACCACAATCTAATGGAGTGGCCGAGAGAAAGAATCGGACGCTAAAAGAGATGATGAATGCACTTTTGATAAGTTCGGGCTTACCCCAAAATTTGTGGGGGGAAGCGGTTCTTTCGGCAAATTATATTTTGAATAAATTGCCCCACAAAGGTAATGACAAAACACCATATGAGTTATGGAAAGGTCATAAACCTACCTACAAGTACTTAAAAGTTTGGGGGTGTTTAGCAAAGGTTGAAATACCTAAACCAAAACAAGTGAAAATTGGACCAAAGACTATTGATTGTATATTTATTGGTTATGCAAACAATAGTAGTGCATATCGATTTTTTATGCACAAATCATAAATTTTGGAGATTCCTAATGGAATGATTATTGAGTCTCGAAATGCTGTGTTCTTTGAGAATAGTTTTCCTTGTAAAGACAAGGAAGTAACAATTCCGAGAAAAAGGACATTCGAAGAGGCCAAGCTACCTCAAGAAATTGAGGATGAGCCAAGACGTAGTAAGAGAACAAAAGTACCTAAGTCTTTTGGTCCTGAATTTCTAACTTATGTGTTAAAGAACGAACCGAGAACCATTCGGGAGGCTTTGACAAGTCCGGATGCTCCTTTTTGGAAAGAAGCTATCAATAGTGAGATAGAATCCATTATGCACAATAATACATGGGAGTTGGTTGATCTCCCACCGGGAAGCAAACCTTTGGGATGTAAATGGATCCTTAAAAGGAAGTATAAAGCTGATGGAACTATTGATAAGTATAAGACCCGATTGGTTGTAAAAGGGTTTAAGCAAACGGAGAGATATGATTTCTTTGATACATATTCTCTTGTAACTCGAATCACGTCTATACGTGTTCTCATTGCAATTGTAGCAATGCATGACCTTGAGATTCATCAAATGGATGTGAAAACGGCCTTCTTAAATAGAGACCTCGAGGAGGAAATTTATATGGAACAACCCGAGGGGTTTGTTGCTCCCGGAAAAGAACAAAAAGTGTGTCGTTTGGTTAAGTCGCTTTATGGACTAAAACAAGCACCTAAGCAATGGCACGAAAAGTTTGAAAAAATGATGTTGTCGAATGGATTTAAAATCAACGAATGTGACAAATGTGTCTATATTAAAGGTAACGTCGATTCAATCGTGATCGTATGGCTATATGTGGACGACATGTTGATCTTGGGAAAAGATAATGGTTTAATTCTTAGTACCAAGAAAATGTTGAAAAATAATTTCGACATAAGGGATATGGCAAAAGCAGATGTGATCTTAGGGATTAAATCTCTAAAAGTTCGGAAGGAATTGTTTTGTCACAATCTCATTATGTTGAAAACATCTTGAAGAGGTTCAATGCATTCGATAAGCCTCCGGCTAAGACTCCTGTTGATTTAACTCAACACTTAGCTAAAAATCGAGGTGAACCAGTTTCCCAACTAGAATACTCACGAGTAGTTGGGAGCTTGATGTACTTGATGAATTGTACTCGGCCCGATATAGCATATTCGGTGAGTAAACTAAGTAGGTTCACGAGTAACCCGAGCGAAGACCATTGGAATGCTCTGATTCGGGTATTTAGGTATTTGAAACATACCTTGAGTTTTAGAATAACATATACGAGGTATCCAGCGGTGCTGGAAGGGTATTGCGATGCAAATTGGATATCTGACACAAAAGACTCCAAGTCCACTAGTGGCTTTGTGTTCACTATAGGTGGAGGAGCGGTGTCGTGGAAATCTAAGGAAACGTGTATTGCTAGATCCACGATGGAGTCCGAGTTTATATCCATGGACAAAGCCGGGGAAGAAGTTGAGTGGCTTAGGAATTTCCTCGAGGATATTTCATGTTGGACAAAACCAGCGCCCGCCGTGATGATACATTGTGATAACCAATCGGCAATTGGAAGGGCACAAAGTAGCTTGTACAATGGTAAGTCTCGACATATACGTCGGAGGCATAATACAATAAGACAAATGATCTCGAGTGGGGTTATTTCGATTGACTATATCAAGTCAAAGGAAAACCTAGCGGATCCGCTTACTAAAGGCATTAATCAAGATCAAATGTACAAGTTGGTTAGGGGAATGGAATTAAAATCCACAACATAAGAACATTCTTAGCGGTAACCCAACCTTGAGAATCAGAGATCCCGAAACCTTGGTTCAATGGGAAAACTAAGTTTTGACAGTTCAGTGAAACACTTGAAAACTTCACTCATTCCCAAGAACCGTCAAGTGTTAAAATCTGCCTAAGTGGTGAGGTTAAGTCGAGGACTTTTAATGATTACTATACCTATGGGTGGAGTAAGGCAGGATACTCTTTATAGAAGAATCACCTTTGTAAGTGAGAAGTAAATAGGCCACTTCAACGAACACTTACTAAACCGAGATATGGTCCAAGGCCGAAATGGACACAACGTGAGAACAAGAAATTGTTAGAGCTGTTGTTGTGTGAGTACTATTGTCTTGGTACACACAAACAGCCGGTAAGTTCAAAGCATCGCGCTACTAACCGGCTAGTGTATCTGATAGTATTTCACTAAGGAAGATTCAAAGCCACAAGCTATCTATCCTGATGCAATGATGGTTCGCCGGAACTCTCAAGTGTTGCATACATGCATTAATTTTATTCATGTGGGGGATTGTAAGAAAAATAGGTTTTGTACCGATTTAACGATTCGATTTTTCGTAAGTAGAAGACTTAGGAAATTCTCAAAACCTTTTTAAGGTGAATGAGAAATTAATTCTAAGTGTTATATGTTAATTAATTGAGTTTAAATAACTCAAAGATTGTAGGGTTCACAAACATTCTGTTTTGACAAATGTTTGGACAAACTAAACGAGCCATAATTATACATTATATATGCTAGTATTGTAGAAGGGCTCGTAGAGACAAGTAGGAAAAAACGGAACTCGATTCCGAGTCCGTATGAGCTCGTACGAGCCCGTGGCGCACGGGCGCGCAACTGGCTGCGGAAATCAAAGGGTTGCAACCCTTGGTGACCATAAGGTATCTTTTGGCCATTAGATGCATCCGTTCTCGTACGGGCACGTCCTAAAATGTGTCTTTTGACACTTAAACCTCTTGGAGGTGTTTCCCTAAATCTATAAATACCCACAAACATGAAATCATTTAGTACATGAAATTTTCCAAGAGTCTTTGCATCCTTTTTACAAAGTTCATATTCATCTTGTGTTCTTTGTGTTCTTTCTTATCTTGAGATTTCCGAAACTTGAGTATTGTTCGTGGAAGGTTTGTGTATTTGAGTTACCGCTATCCACAAATCGAAGTCGTTGTATCTTGGAGGCGTTAGCCGTGAACCGTGGGTAATATACAGGGCTATTTCGTCTTAAAGAGAGCGTACCTTACGTGCCTCGACTTTGTTCGTTTCGTCATTTTCCTTCTGATTTCTTAAGCCATTTTTTATATTCACAAACCACACTAATAACAAAACTTTCCTCAATAGCCCAAATGTTGCTCATGGTGTTTTTGAGTCATGAGAAATTCACTCTTTTTTCCCCATACACTTTGCAAAATAAGTTGTTTCTGCATTCCTCCAGACCAAGCTATATGTCTTCCAACCCGAGGTTTATTTTTTGCTTTTCCTCTTCAAAGAGTTTGAAGTCTGACATTTTTCCTATGATTTCACATTCATCTTCGGCTGAAATACCAAAATCCATTCCAACCGTAGACCGCAAGACCAAACAAGACCAGAAGAAGCGATGGGAAAACTACCAATCGAACCTAAATCTAACAAAGAAGAACCGAGAGAGCAGAATTGAAGATACATTAAAATCCACCTTCGTGGAACCTAAAACCCTCGAAATAGAGAAGACGTGCCCTCTCAAAGGGATGATTGTTGGATTATTCTTGACTAGGTATGGACTTGGATTATGACTTTTTGAGCTTAGATTTCATTATTGTTAATTTGGGGGTACATACGAGTTATTCATGAATTAAATGCTAAGATTTGATTTGATCGAAGAGATCTTATTATCGAACATATTTTTTTTTTAATATTCCTTGAAGGTGGATTTGAAATTGAATAGCGTTAATTGAGGATTTAAAAGCTTTTTTCGTGGATTACAAGTTATATTACTCGACTTCCATGATGAATGTAGTTTTAATGTAGCCTTAAACGCTGATGATCATTTTCCATTTGACCGGAGAGAGAGTAAGACTCGCTCTTAAATTACTTCATGGAGAGGAATGAGCATATTTTTTCTTGGTCATCTTCTGCACCAAATTTATATCTAAGAGCAAGATCATCGGTTTGATTATTTTTCGTACAATATTTGATTTGTATAATGTGATTTTAAGGGCTAACGCCTTGACTCTCGATCATTACCCAAGAACATGAATTCTTGGTCGTCTCCACAAAGTCTATCTTTGATCTCTTTCACGTGGATCTTGAGTTCATTAGCGTACTTCAAAATCTCAAAGGCTGGATTCTAGATAAAATGTCAATCTTCAATTAAAAATGCAGTTGATATTTCAAAGTATTGTTTGGGTATATACTGAACATCAAGCTTCAATTAGATCGCACTTGAATCATCAAAATATTGCATGAACCTTCAAAAACTTCTAAAAAAATTATAAAATAAAATGCAAGAAAATGACAAAAAAAAAAAAATCGCCTTTAAACCTGTTAAAGAGAATTTTGTAGAGTTATTGAACTTGTCACTAAATTATGAATTGTGGTTTTTACATTAGGAGTTACCCTATTCATTAGTGTAGGACAAGAAATCTAATCGAAATTACTTAGCAAAGAATGCAGTTTTATTGATCCTTTATTATTTGATATGATATTTCCACCATATTAAGATTTGACTTGGTGGGAAATAGGGATAATTATTTCTTAAATATTATTTTTTCTTTTAGATATATGTACAAATAAATAAAGACTAATTAAGCCTTGTTCTCTTCTTCCTTTCGCTTATTCATTTTTTTTATCAATTTATATTATTTGTTTATCTATTTTATTTTCTTTTTGTCCTATTTCACTTTAATTTTCTCTTTCTTTTTTTCCTTTAAAATTTGGTAAATGAATTTTAAATGTTAATATTAAAAATATTAATTTTTTCAAAAAAATTATTTATTTTTGTACCTTTGTATATGATTTCATTTTTATATCATATAAATTATTTTGACATTTCTTCTATTTTAATATTTATAGTTTAATAATAAATATTAAATAGTTTTCAAATGTATAAATGCTTGATGAAATTTGATATATGGAGTCTCTATATATATATAAAAAAAAGGTTGGATTATTTTTAAATAGTAACTATTTCCCTCCAAAACAAATTATTTACTAGTTCGGGAAATTAATTTTAACAATTTATGGTATATTTTAAATGATCATGTGAATTATTTAATATATGGTATATATTGGACGAATTTATTTTTGGTATTGATGATTGTTTCTATTGGAAATAAATTAATCAATATATGGTATAAAATGAGCAAATTTATTTAGGTTATTTGATAACTGTTTTTTTGTAGGAAATTTGTTGAAAAATTAATCAATATACGGTGTACTTTTTTCTGTAATGCGCAGGCTAATATATTGATTTTTAGGCGTGGGTTTTAATTTTTATTTAAAATTTTGGTATAAAATTAACATAATAAAATTAACGTAACTCTAACAAAATAATATGAACTGATATTTTGAAATAATGTGAATATATCGATTTTTTTTTTCTTTTTTTTTGTGGAAAAAAGCTCTGGTCAAACTTTTTTTTTTTTATATAATTAGTGGGTCTCGATTTATTCATTTTTTGTTTCGACATTTCAAATAATTTTTGTGTGAAATGCACTGTTCATTTTTTTAGCATGATAAGGAGTGTTGATTTTTTTGGCATAAAAAATCTTATGACTGATTGCTTTTATTAAACTACTTAAATTTTTTGGTTTGGATTTATACAAAAATAAATTTATTTTAAATAATTAAACAATATAATTTTGTATATTTATACTTATTAATCACTTAGGTTCTTAAATATATGATAAAATTTTACCAAAATAATTATTTTATGGAATCACGTTATAGTCAAATCGAATTTCTGAATAAAAAATTTAAAATGACACATATTTTTAAATGATATAATGTAATTTATTATCAATTATGTGCAACGCACGGGATGTGTACTAATTTTAAATAGACAATTTAAATTTTATATAATATTTTCAATAAGTTATATAATTACATTGTATCACATATTGATTTCATGTTTCTAATTTATAAATTTTATTTAATGAGAATTTTCAATTTATAAATATTAATTAATATCTCTTGCTGGTGCATCGCACGGGATTTGTATTAGTAAATATAAGATAAAGATATAATATTTATCAAAAGTGAGTGAAAAATATGCTGGAGCTAGAAAAATATGTTCCTAAACTTTATTGTTATTGAAAATGTATAAATATAGGAATAATGTAAATATGTTTGAATTGGATGGGAAGAGTTTGAATTATGAAAGATGTTTTATTTCTTTTTTTTTTCCCAAAACGATAGATAGTATTATAAATCAAAATGCACAAATGTGCGAATACACAGCAGCCAACGACTGAATACACAGCAGCCAACAGCTGAAAAAAGTGGGAGGACAGGTCAGAAGACCGCCTAGAATCCCGACTAGCAACGCTAGAATAAAAAAACACTCAAAATTAAACTAATAACAACACAAACAACTAAAACAAACTACAAGGACCCCAACAGGGTAATACCCGAGTGTCGGATCCCAACAGGATAATAAATTTGACACTCGGGCTCACAGGGGCCAACGACCCAAACCTAAAAACACCAATCCTAGACAACAACAGATAAGACACACAAAGAAACGAACAAAACAACACACTAACTAACAAACAAAACACACAGCCCTCCTTCAGCAGATACGTCCGAGATTGAACCACAGACATGGCCGATTTCATGAAAAGATCCGCAGCACAGGCACTCCGCCCGCCACTGCCTAAAGCCTAGCAAGACGAATACCCAAGCAAGACGAATACCCAAGCCGCAAAACAAGCCAAGAAAAACCGACCCGCTCTCCTACCGCAAGAAACCATAATCGACCCCCATCGGCTAACACCACTAGCCAAATCCGATACCATCTCGAAATTGCCTATCACCACTAGCCAATATACGAAACGGTCGGCCTCCTTCTTGATCAGAAAGAGGAAAAAGGAGGAAGGGCTCGAATGGCATCCCGACCCAGTCACAACAACACAACCCAACAATCGATAATCTCCCAATCCAGCGCACAAAATCGAACCCCGCCACAACCACCCCACAGTACCGAAACGAGAGCTCCAGCGAAACAGGAAAATCGAAACGAGGCAGACTTCAAGGCCATGATAGAAGAAATCGACCATACCTGAGTTGGAACGAGCAACCAAGCCGCATCCAAAGGTTGACAAAGCACCCCCCCCAAACCCCGAACCGCAGGACACCAGCGGCCTCGCACAGAAAAGTAGATCTGCCGAAACCCTAGCCCACCCCTTTGGCTGGAATCGCAGAACGGGAACGCCGCTGACCTAATTAAGGATGCTCCACAGGAGAGCCATCCTCCGGCTATCCCGAACGACCTCTGAAAGAGGCACAAACCTGCGATTTGCAGATGGCGAGCAAGAGAGAAAAAAGGCGAGCAAGAGAGAAAAGGGACTAAAAATCCCCTTCGATATATAGAAATTACTTAAGTATAAAAAAGTTACAAAGATGTTTTTTCTCAACTTGCAGACAATTCGTTTAAAGTTGTTTAAAGTTGTTCGGAAGCTCTTGTAGGGTGATTTATTTATTTTTTTTAAAAAAAAAAAAAGAAAAAAAAAAGTGGTGGAACAAAATTCAATTTTTTTTATTAGAAAAACGTATTCAAAATCAAAAGCACGTATTCAAATTTATTAGAGAAACGTATTTCGATAATACGTTTTAAAATTAGTTTTGTAAAGTTTAAAAAAAATTCAGTTTAAAAGTCGAATTGAATTCAAATTAGTAATTATAAAACGTATTTTCTAAATACGTTTTATATTAAATAATTTAAAAATAAAATCTTTTGAAAACGTATTTTAGAAATATGTTTAGGAATTTGAATAAAAATAAAATATAATTTAAAGAACGTATTCTTGGAATACGTTTTACAATTAAATAAAATTAAAATGTATTCTAATAATACGTTTTACAATCAAATATATATATAAAAAAAAAATCTCTTCTTCTCCCTCACTTACGCGATAACAGAGACAAAGTGGGGAGATTTTGAAGAAGAGGAAGAGAGCTTCGGGGAAAAAAAACGCGATCTAGTCTCTACCCAACGCGAATCGACAACAAACGACGCGAGTTTTAATTCCGGTTAATTCATTCGCACGAGGTATATTGGCTTATCTCAACTTTTTACATTGTTGAAGTTGTTTGGAGATTGAGAATTGTTATAGTATGTTTGAATGTGATGTTGTTTGAACATTGGGAATCGTTAATTGTTTATCGAATATGTGTATATGTTGAATTGCAGATTGGAATTTTGTTGTAAATTGTCAATTGTGTATTGGTTAGTTGTTGTTGGGCTTAGGGTTTTCGAAATTAGGGTTAGAATTAGGGCTTTCAATTTATCCGAAATATAGATGAATTTTATGTTATTGTCGATTATGGGTATTAGGGGTTTGGAGGATTATTTGATTGAGAATATTTATTTTGGTTATTTCGTTGAAATAATATTAGACATTATGTATTGTTGTAATTTAGAAGAATTGAAAGTGTCTTTTTGCAACCGGTATTAATGGAGTATTCCGGTCCATACCTTGTTAATTTGTACTGGCATTGTGCGAAGGAAATGTTAAGTGAATTTGTTTTATTTAAAGATCGTCCAGATGGTTCATTGTTTATTCCGGGGAGGATA